TTTTCGTCGCTTGGCAACGACGTTGTAAAACAAGCCAATGCACTTTTGGTGAACTCGGCAACCAGGCTACCGTTTTTTTTTTTGGCGGTAACTATAATGGTGGTCGAGCAGATTATGTTGTGCGGGGTCGAGAATTCTCACTCCGCGCAAAGGGGGATGATCGCACCACGTTGTGTTAAAATGGTCAAGCACCCTCGAGGCAGTTACACAGTGCTTACAACTGTCTCTGGAAGTGAAAGCACCAGAAAATAAATTAATTCATACGCAGCTGTCATCCGTACGCAAGGAAGTAAGCACAAGATGCCGAACACCCTTAGCAGGATGCAGCGCACCCTTCATGCGACTCGCCGAACACCTCACGGCGCTTTGCGCTTGGTGATGTGAGAGCCTGGTCCGGTGAGACCCCGGCGTGCTCCGTCCCGGCTTTGTAGGGATGCGAGGTCAAATGTCTAACGACCACGGCATGCACGACCATGAGTACACGCCCCCCGCCCCCCGGCGTTTGCCATCGGGGTTGGGTTTTCGTCCCTTGGCAACGACGTCGTATCACAAGCCAATTCACTTCGTGAGCTCGGCAACCAGGTCACCGTTGTTGTTTTGTTCCTCTGTTCTGCTTTGGCGGTGACCATAACGGTGGTCGAGTGGATCATGTTGTGCGGGGTGGAGAAGCCTCACTCCGTGCAAGGGGGAAGACCGCACCACGTTCTGTCAAATGGTCAAGCACCCTCGACGCAGTTACACAGTGGCTTTAACTGTCTCTGGAAGTGAAAGCACCAGACAAGTACTCAAGTCATACGCAGCTGTCATCCGTACCCAAAGGAGTAAGCACAAGATGCCGAACACCCTTAGCAGGATGCAGCGCACCCTTCATGCGACTCGCCGAACACCTCACGGCGCTTCGCGCTTGGTGATGTGAGAGCCTGGTCCGGTGAGAACCCGGCGTGCTCCGTCCCGGCTTTGTAGGGATGCGAGGTCAATGGTCTAACGACTGCGGCATGCACGACTATGAGTACACCCCCCCCCCGCCCTGGTCTTGTCCCTTTCCTTGAGGTGCAGAGGATTCTGAGGATATTCCGCGTCTGACCCTTCTGTCGTCCATTTCGGTTTCACTGTCCCGTGTTCCGTCTGTACCTCCACTTACGGCTCTTTCCCGTCCTACGGACGCTTTCGCGCGTTTTCCGTTTGTTGTTGCGGCGGGATCCCAGGACCGTTCCGCGGACCTTGCCGTGGGGAAGGAGATCCGAGTGAGCCCGTACCGGCTGGCGGCACACCTGGCCACCGCCTTCACCACGTTTTCGCTGCTCGTGCACACCGGTTTCCAGGTGGGGCTGCCTGAGGGCTCGATACAATATGGCGTATCTGTTATACGTGAGGGCGGCGACTTTCGAGCGGCTGTTGTTCCGGTGCTGTGTTCGGCGGGACGCAGCGTATCAATTTTTGGCTATAGCGTCGCTCGCCACCTGCAAGTGGCGACACGCATCAACGTGTCGCGCGCATTTGGTTTGTGTGTACCATACTGCTGTTTGCTGCGGGCTGCCATCGGGGGCAGCGTACGACCTCCAAAAGGCGTCCTGCTCGTACAATTGCGGAAAAAAGCCCAGTGGTCTTTCGACACTCTGATTTTTCGCACGATGAGGAAAGTACTTTATGCTCGAATCATTGCCACCCGTCGCCCAACCTTACTCAAGCCTTCGATGGTGAGTTGTCCCTTTCCCCTCTAAGACCTTCGTCGTCCCGCATCCTCTCCTGAACGTGCAACCACGTGTCCCGCCCGCGTGTCCCCTCTCTTCTCCTTTCTCGCTGCACACCACCGCCTAATAAAAAACAGGCCCTCGATGGCCCCCGCGCGGCCTCTCCTTCCGCAACGGACGCAGCCCGCCGCCTCCTCGACGCGGGGGTGATGCGGCAGGGGTCCAACCTCCGGGTGATGGCCATGGGCGTGTGCGGGGCCGCCTTCGTGACGGCGGTGTCCGGGGCGTTCGTGGCCGGCAACGATGCGGGCCGGTGCTACAACTGCTTCCCAAAGATGACGGAGGAGGACTGGCTGCCGGAAGAGGTGACTTTTGTTGCTGTTGTTGTTGCTGTTGTTATTTTTGTTGTTGTTGTTGTTGTTGTTGTTGCTGTTGTTGTTGTTGTTTTTCCTCCCTCCTTTCGTTTTGTTTGCCGTCGCAGTTCCCGGGTTCTACGTACACTCTCGCCTCTTCCTTCAGGAGTGAATTTGAAATATATTTTGACATGTGGTGTTTGGTTGATGGCTACGGGTGCACTTGGTGGATATGGCGTTTGGAACGTAGTAGTGTGGGTGGTGACCGGCATCGTGATGTTTTTTTGTCGTGTTGCTTAAGAAGTAGCAGGCATAGGGCCACAGACGTTCCCCCATTTTTTTTTACGGAGGCGTCCGACTGTCGTAGTTGAGGTGAGATTGCGATGTTGACACTCGAGCTGTTGGCACGACCCGCAGAGCACGGTGCTAAAATATTTCGCGTTTCCTCTCCTAAGAGAACACGGAGGGCGGGTGTTCAACAATAACTTGTCGAGCTTGCCGATATCTCCTCCCCTATACGATCCCCAATCCACCCCCTTTCACGCTTTGCCGTCGCCGCCGACGCCACGGCACAACCCCGTGCGAACTATCGATCAGATTCTCGCGTTCAGGCCGATGTGGAGAAATTTCTTCGAGAATTCTGCGACGGTTCAAGCGGACCACCGCGCGCTCGCTCTCACCACGACGGGAGCGGCCCTCGGCATGTTCTGGTACGCTAGGAGAGGGGCCGGCGGCGGCACAGGGACTCTTTGGGCGGCGCTGCCGGCGGCGCCAAGGGCGGCGACGACGGCAACGGCGGGTCTCGTTACGGCACAGGTGATTTTTAATGGTTTGCGGCTTCGTTCCCTTTTTTTGTTTTGGAGAAAATTTTCGATTTTTGATGCCACACACATGATGCACCGCTGACCTGCCTTGTCGGGTCTTTTTTTTTTTTTTTGCCCAAGGTGAAGGGGGTGTATCAAGCTATGCAGCGCCATCAATCATGAGTTTCGTGCGTTTATTTTTATTGGCAACGACCTTCTGTTGTCGGCAGGATCGATTTGCGTAACGGTGAGATTTTGATTTCCGATACCTTCGTTCTACTGGCGTCCGTGGGTCGACAACGGATCTTGTTTCGTGCAATCCGGTGGGCTCTTTGCCTTGTTGGCGCCCCTGCCAGCCGGCGTAATCGCCGACCTTTCCCTCTTGCCCTCTCCCACTCTTTCTCTCTGCCCCCCGCCGGCCGTCTGTTGGAACTCTTTTTCTTTTGCGTCTTCGTGTTTTCGCTTGGTACGCCAGGCCTCCCTCGGCATCACGACGCTCCTGCAGTGCGCGCCCCTCCCCCTCGCCGCCTCGCACCAGGCGGGCGCCCTGACGGTTCTGGCCTCCTCCATGTGGGCGGCGCACTCCCTGAGGTTTGCCCACGTGCCGCCCTCGGCGGTGGCGACGTCGTCGTCGATCTCCCCCAAGATGCCGCCGCCGGTAGGGTCTTAATAGCCTCCTCGCTTGAGGCGGCGTTCCTTCGGTGGCGTGTTTCATTTCACAGCGGGCGACGGGCCTCGTGCGTGCCAAGCTCAGGGGCCAAGCCACGGCATTCTCCGACGCCGGGGCTCCGTGAATGTAAACGCCGGATGGCTCCCAAAAATATCCCCACGGAGTTTTTCGTCGTATCGTGGAGTATGCTCTAGAGTATCGATTCTGCTCTGTCTGTGTTCCAAACGTTGGGAACAAGGTGCTTAGAGAGCCGATGGTATCGGCAGCTAGTTTTGGCATCACCACCCGGATAGGGTGGGGTCGCCGTAGACTGGTCTCGGGGGCGGGTGGGTTGGGTTGGGCTTTTGCCGATGGGGTACCCCCTTGGTGTGGGCGTGTACGGAGAGGAGGTTGGCTTGACTTTGTGGTGGGTGGAGTTTTCAGCCGGTGAAAGTGTTTCGGACGCTACAGTAGTCCCAACAGGTTAAGCACAATGCCCGGTTTGGTAAAACAACAGTCAGTTGCACCCGCTGGTAACAGCAGCGATTGGTATCTACACGTTGAGCGGGTGAAGAGGTGTGCAGTTTTTGGTTTCTGCGGATTTGCGGAAAGGTGTGATAGTTTTGTGCGACGACCCAAGACTGATGTCTGCGTGTCTTGCTGTCGTGTGTGTGTTCATTACGTCTACGGGATGAGTCTTTTTTTTTGTCTTCCCTTGCTCTGTGGGATTGGCGTGCAGGCTTAGGTTGCATGGTCACCTGGCAACTTGTAGGGTGATGTGCCAATAGCGAGTATACATATATATCGAAATTTCCAGCCTCTCCTGCCGGCCCTGTGCAGAACTTGACCACCCGAGGAGAGTGTTGTACCCGGTGTTTCTTTGAAACCGGCAGACACGGGCTTGGCAATGTCTCGTCGGGAGTTACGGGACCAACACGCCCCACAAAGACATCCTGGAGCTACAGTAGGAGTGCGGCAACGCGGTTGCTGGAAACGTGCGGTGCAGTTATGAAAGGGGCGGCCCACCCCCTCGCCAAAACGCCACGGATATGTAGAGTGCCAACGATTAGATGGCGTTTTGTGACCTCTACTGCGATACTGCCACAAACCCTACGGGGCTTGCTGTCAATTGTTCCTTCCGCGTGCTGCAGTGGAACCGCGGCAACCAGCTAACTACAACGATGTTCGTCGGCTTGCTTTCTAACAAGTGATTTCAAACCAAAACGCCATCCACGCGTCAACCACGCAGTCTACCCAAAGGTGTAAGCTGGCACCCAGCATGGAATGGGACGAAAACACAGACCAAAAGGCACACACGACACCAACACAACGAGAAATCGGATGCGAGGAAACCTCGCTGCAGACAGACTGAGCAAGGATGCTAGCATCGGAGTGGATAGCGCGGGGTGACTGCTACGTGCGAGTGGATATGTAGTATTGTCCTTTTGCATGTACTCCGAATCTCAAGACTGAACCCGGTCTCCGGCCTCCCACTGTGGAAGGAGCCCGATGTCTAGAGTCCGCATTCATGCTTGGTATCCTGCTTGTTGTAGACAGAAGATTGGCATATTTTCAGTGGCGAGCCGGTTTCGTCGATGCTGTTCTAATTTGAAACACAACAGCTGTCGTATTTCCCTAAATCAGTCGTATAGCGCGGCCGACGCCTTTTTGTTGCAAGATCGTCGCCCAATTGTCTTTAGTCTTGTCGAATCGGTTACCCCACAGGGGAGACATCACTGCTGATGCATACGTAGAATAATTCAAACAAATTCATATTATGTCACGGTATGAAGTCATTGCCATGTGACCATCCTCGACTCCTGTCGATGGGGAAGAGATGAACGTAAGTGCTCTTTTCTGGTAAAACCAAAATCACACTATTCAACATGAACTCCCAAGTTGTAACGACGGCGGTTCTATTTGTGTGCTCCCTCGTATGCCTTTGATCCCGCCGCAGTTGTCGATCGCCGTCGTATAAACCGTCATCATTCTCGAGTCTCCTCACTCCCACCACAGCACTCCGGCCAGGAAGGTTCTTTGCTAAGGTAATTAACCCACCTGCGAAGGTTCGATATACCCTGTGGGGCCATCAATCTATTGTCCACGTCTTCGCCATATGCGTGCGCTTGTCCATCGTGCCGCCTGAGAGGGGATGCGCCTGTTGTTCTGTTTTAGAAGACTATGAATGGTAAAACTCTACACCATGTGGTACCCATGATGATGCGGACTTCCGATTCTTCTCCAGACGGTAGGCATTCCGGACGACGGGTGCCTGCCCGGCAGAAGGCCAGAAACTGTTCGTGTGTTTGCATGTGTGGGAAGGATCTGAGGACGGTTCTGTGTTCCGTAGATGAAGGGACACACGATGGTACCTTGTGTGGTAGACTTTCGACGAGTCAGCGGTGCCTCCATGCTGCGTCCGAAAGGCGTATATACGCCAGCGCTGGCGAGATTCTTGCACTCGCCAGTTCAACAATTTTTGGGTTGTGGTTGGAGGTAGACACGAAACCAAAGCCACAGCGGGTTTCCAGCCCTCAGGCAGCACCAAGGCGCTAGGTCTCACTAGGCCTAACGCACCCCTAAACCCTAACCCTAGCCCTAACCCAAACCCAACACCCCAAGCTAGGTTGTTGTGCAGTGGGTAGGCCTAGGTCGCTGTAGCTACTGGAGCGTGTTTTTTCTGTGCCAGTACTGGCAAATTTTCGCCGCGGGTGCTGCGTCAGCCTGCGTGGGGCACTCTCTTTCTCCCCTGTCTATCGTGCGTTAGTCCTGCGGATCTAATACAAGCCATCAACGAGACTTTCTAGTTACTGGACACAAATGCGGGCATACCCGGCATAAGACTCCGGCTCTAAGAGTTATCAACACTCTAGAGTTAGCTTTCTCCATCGTCCTTGCAAGGAAACGAAAGCAAAGCCCGTGCCAGCAACGATGTCGGGAGGAGTCTCGGAGGAGGAGCTCGCTGCGAAACTCGGAGAAGTCGAGCGAACGCTGACGGCCCGCTTTGAAGAACAGCAGGCAAAGGCTGAGGGAAGGATGGAGAAGCTCCTTGGTCGCTTCGAGGGACTATTGCTCCAGCAGTCCGCACGAGACGGAGGAGGAGGGTCACACGGCGCCGCGATGGATGGGGGCGCTGTGGGCGGTGCGGTTGGATTCCAGGAGGGAACCGGGAGGATTTCCGCCGCGGGGAACCTACCCAAGACTGTGGGGCCTGGCGCTCGGGACAGCGGCGGCGTCAGCGGTGGAGTAGCGGGCGGCACAACACACGAGCCTGTTGATCGCGGGACAAGCACTCGGTCCGAGAGAGCTGGAGTATGGCATTCATGGCGATTCTGGTGACCACTCGTCGCAGAGGAGCAAAAACACAGCGCGGTTTTTCTCCTCTGCGACGAGTCGGCATTCACCAGAATCGCCATGAATGCCATACTCCAGCTCTCTCGGACCGAGTGCTTGTCCCGCGATCAACAGGCTCGTGTGTTGTGCCGCCCGCTACTCCACCGCTGACGCCGCCGCTGTCCCGAGCGCCAGGCCCCACAGTCTTGGGTAGGTTCCCTGAGGCGGAAATCCTCCCGGTTCCCTCCTGGAATCCAACCGCACCGCCCACAGCGCCCCCATCCATCGCGGCGCCGTGTGACCCTCCTCCTCCGTCTCGTGCGGACTGCTGGAGCAATAGTCCCTCGAAGCGACCAAGGAGCTTCCCCATCCTTCCCTCGGCCTTTGCCTGCTGTTCTTCAAAGCGGGCCGTCAGCGTGCGCTCGACTTCTCCGAGTTTCGCAGCGAGCTCCTCCTCCGAGACTCCTCCCGATATCGTTGCTGGCACGGGCTTTGCTTTCGTTTCCTTGCAAGGACGATGGAGAAAGCTAACTCTAGAGTGTTGATAACTCCTAGAGCCGGAGTCTTATGCCGGGTATGCCCGCATTTGTGTCCAGTGACTAGAAAGTCTCGTTGATGGCTTGTACGAAGTATTAGATCAGCGCAAATATCTATCAGGTGTTGTCTCCAAAAAAAAAGGGAGGGGCATCTGCACGCGCCCCCAGATGTAGGGGGGGCAGCGACAGCAGACGCACCCCAGATGTGGGGCAGTAATTTTTTAACTGGCGCGTTCCCAGGTGCAATGAGGGCGACGCGAGTCCAAGCCCTCCAGATGTAGGCGAGGGCAGCAGTTCTTCACCGGCGCGCCCCCAGATGTACGGGGGGCGACACGGGTATATGCCCCCCAGATGAAGGGGAGGGCAGCATTTCTTCACCTCCGCGCCTCCAGGTGTAGAGGTGGCAGCGCAGGTATTTTCGGCTGGGCGGTTCTCCAGATGAAGGGGGAAGCAGCAAGGTCATCACAGATCTCCGCCGGCGCACTCCCAGATGTAGGGGGGGCAGCGTAGGCATTTGTTTTTGCAGTCGGCGCGCTTACCAGGGTGGCGAGCAGCAGCGGGGGTCTTTGCTAGTGGGTTGGAGGAGCCGGAGCCCGCTCGGCAACGGAGGCAAGACCCCTGCCGAGACCGACAATTTTCGGTTGGCACCGGTAGCAGAGAATACTCGTAGCAGTTTTGAGTTTTTTGTGTGTAGTCGCAAAATATGGGAGGGAATCCAATGTTGCGTTAAACCGATGTTAGTGAACGTGCATGTCTCTGACGACCTCCCCTTAATAGTCGCTACCGTGTTTGTATCGTATCAATGTTTTCCCTTGCTGTTTGAATTAGTCGCGTAGGACATTCGCAACCGCGAAACTCAAAGGCTGGATGTCACGGGGGAGCACTGTGGCATTCCATGCGCAGTGACGTTTTAGGTATTGATCTGATTTTCTGTTTGTTGCGTGAGAGGTCGTTCCAACGCTCGCAATCCAAACTGCCGGGCCCCCTGACACGCAATTTGTTGAATGATTGTGTTTGTTCATGCCTGTTGCTGCATTTTAGCCAGCGTTGGTATTTTGATGTTTGTCTTCCCCTGAAAATGTTGAGATGATCATCCGAACCATCGATGTAGTTTGGTCCGCTTGTTATGTCGCTATGTTGGGGAATTGGAGTAGGTAAGACACCAACGTTAGCACTGGATTTGGCCTTCTTTCTAGGGGATTGGAGTAGTTGAGATGACAACGAGCATGTTTTGTTTTGTGATCGTAGAACCATTGCGAGGGTTTTTGGCTCGGCGGCCGGGTTTTCCCTTGCAACCCATTTTTTCTGTGTGATTTTCGGTGATACCCGAGCACGTTGAGCAACACACGGTGATGGTTAATTACTAATGTAAGGAACCAAGGAGAGTGTTCGTAGGAGGGTGTTCGTGTGTGTGCGTATGTGGGAAGGATCTGAGGACGGTTCTGTGTTCCGTAGATGAAGGGACATACGATGGTACCTTTTGTGGTAGACTTTCGATGAGTCAGCGGTGCCCCCATGCTGCGTCAGCCTGCGTGGGGCACTCTCTTTCTCCCTTGTCTACCGTGCGTTAGTCCTGCGGATCTAATACAAGCCATCAACGAGACTTCTATTCACTTGACACAAATACGGGCATACCCGGCATAAGACTCCGGCTCTAGGAGTTATCAACAGAAACTTTCCGTCGAAACGCCTCATCCACCGGAACTCTACATGGCTGTTGTTTAGGGTTTCGATCAGCAAGATTTCGCATCTGGAGTACATCGGAGAGTGGAACATGACAACCGAGTCCTTGTCGCATTCTACAAGACCTTCATCGCAACAAACACGCGCCCAGACAAACCAACCCTAGTCATGCTGTGTGATAACCTCACTGATTGTTTGACGTGCGGTCATGAGTTCTGCTGCTACGTTCTATTTTCGTTCCTGGCATAGATGTAGCGCGCGGTCCACTGCTTAATCTACTTCGTCGGTGCGTGCGGTAACGCCCGGTGCTTCAGAAAAACACGGGTGGGTGAAGACTACAGCAAGTATACAACATGCAATACGAAAATACTGCAGTCTACGTACAGTAGTCTTGACGCTATTTCTGTGTCATTTCATCACTCCAGCTGTTTACTACACAATAGCTCGCAGGTTTTACCTACCGCAGGCTCTTGCTTGTCTAACAGAAGAGATCCGATCCGGTGTCACACAGAACGCGTAGTCTGCAGTGCATGTTTCATGTTCCCTTTTATTTCGGCGGTTACAGCGCTGCAACAGCTGCAACGGGCTGCAAGCAGTTACCCCGCTCAAGTGTCGACTATACTCACGCTTGTATGAGACGCGGAAACGTCACCTCGCTTAAATCCGAGTTAGGTCCCATTTGTCGCGAGTAAGCCGTGCTGTATTTGGTAGGGCAATCGGGGCGATCGGTGTGTGTGTTGAGGATTTTACGACACCTAAGAACAAAAGTCTAGTTTGGAACCCGCCGCAGGTTCCGTTTCGGCGGCGCGGCAGTTGCGCCGCATGGTTCGCCCGGGAGGCTCGTGGGTGCGTCTGTCTACTGTCTACACTCAGGGCGGTGCTCTCGTCTTGCACGTGCCGTTGACACCCCGCACAACAACCTACATCTGAACAGGTATACTGCACTCCGCATATCTGGTGACTGCATTTCTCAAGTGTATGCTGGGACTTTCTCTGTGAAGAAGACCGACCTGCAATACAACAACAGTACCTTGGCGGGTCTCGACCGAAACTTGATGAAGGGTTTGAATAGGGATGCTATCACACCAACGCTATTTCTGGTCATTTATACGCACCGCACGGTGGTGAGGACAGGCCATATCACGCCAGCCGTGATACACTCTAGCGTTGAGAATGGAAGACAATCTGTAGTCGGAACGTGTTGTTAATAAACCACAAGTCTATAGGATGCGAACAATCAGTGGTTGAACGCTCGACGATTTATTTCCACAACTGCTGGCCTTGATCCCGAAATCAACGCTCACCCAGACAATTACCCATTGCACATGCATTGGTCGGCGAGCAGGCCAGCCCATTACTTCCTGGAGTATAGGACGAGATGGACAGCATCGCCCAAAGATGCAAGACTCACCAACGCGCCAACAAATCACACTCTGGGCATTTGGATGCAGCGGCCCTCCAACTCCTGGGTCACCTACATCACGCCATCAAGTGAGTGAGCGAAACCTGACAGTAATATTGTACTGATGCTAAAGGAGGCAAACGAACGATATTTGACGGGATGGGCGTTCTGGACATGCCTCATTCAAGCCATGCGCACATCACTTATCTCCCCGTCGCTCCCTGTGCAATGATGAGGAATCACCAATGACTGATGACAACGTACTGCCAAGCATGTGTAGCGCCCGTGGAGGGATGGGAGATAACGGCTGACCATGAAATGGGCACAACACTGATGAATTCGTCAAGTAGCTGTGCTACGAAATAATTCCTAGGGCATGACCAATCCACGCGTGCGATGCGTTTCGAAAGACGGGCTTGCAATTGCCGAATCATCAACCAGAGGACCACGAAATCCTCTTATTACACTGTTTATTTGCGATTGTGCTGAGACGACTATCGCACGCAATCCCACGCCTTGATTGTCCTGGTGTTTTCGGAAGCTCGCCTGTTATTATTGCATCCATCTATCAAACGTTGTGCTGCTCGTTCTAAATGCCAGGTTCGTGAGAAGGTGTACAAATGAGGCAGACAACGGAGCGGCCTCTAACGCGTCAAAACAACAGCTAGAGTCGGCTAAATGCGAGTGCATGTCGGCGTGCATGAAAGCCATCTCTTCAAACGGAGTAGAACCAGGTGCGTGACCCAACAAGATATTTTTACCATAAAATATGCTTATATGTGTACTTCAGATGTGCGTGTTGCTACGGGAAGCGCGAATACGCTCGTTTTTTGTATACTTTCCTCCCTCCATACAATAGAGCAGCTGTTCAGTTGAGCGAAACCGAAAACGGCGTATGTATCTGAGAGCTCTGTCTATATCATCACACCCGCGGTAGAGCGAGTCCGTTAGACCGCTTGCTTTTCCGCGTTTCGGGCGTCGATGATGCCCGGTTCAAACGCCTGCTACGAGGTGACTTCTGCCCAGCCACATGGATTCACCGTGGGATACCTTTTCTGCTGTTTCTCTTGCTTCTCGGAGGGTGCACGTCCCAAGCAGATGCTATTCTCGAGGCGGCGAGCGTCTTCGTGGAGAAAATTTCCTCAACCTACACGGCCAAGGATGTCAAGCATGTCAAGACCATTGGGCAAGCTAAGATGAGCGTAGGTGAGTTTTGGGTTCCATAGATGTCGATGCTTTGGACATTCCGTAGCGATTGTACCTGGGTGATTGTGCGGGTACGATGGTCGGTTGATCGCGGTAGAGAGGCAGCGCTGCTCACGGCTGTGTGTGCATTGGGGAAAGTATTGGCGTGGTGGTAGAGGGGTCGCGTGGGTGCTGCAGCAACCTATGGATGTCACGGAACCTGTGTCATTGAACCTGTCGGCAAAGGAATAGCTACACGATATAGATCTCTGATGGAAGGTTTGATGGTTTCTGATAGGTTACAACCTAAACGTGGTCCCAGTATTCTTACCATTCGTCGAGCTTGCACGAGTGCTATATATTTAACTGTTTCTGCCTTGCTCTTCTCGGTCTCGACAGTCTCGTGACAGTCTCGTCTTCACGCTCACACCATTACAAACGCGAGGTATCGCATAGCATGTACAAAACAGCTTCTTTCTGTGTGGAAATAACTTGTACGTAAGGCTAACGTCACGATGACTCAGTCCAACACAACAGAGAGCCAGTCACCTCCCTGTCGTGTCGGACCCAACCCTTGAAGACTCTTGGCAGCTGGTGACTCGACCCGACCCAAACCGCAAGACTTGTGTCACCGATGACTCAGTCCGAACCGACCTTAGAGGGCGTATGGATTGGTGACTCGATCCGACCCTGCCCATGAAAATTTGCAACCGGTGGTATGATTTGACCTTTGACTCGTGAAGGAGTTGTGAAACTGGCCACCCGACCCGACCTGTGGAGGTTGTGCTCAACAGGGCAGTCGACTGAACTGGTGGCTCGATCTGACCCAACCCACAAGCATTGTGAGCACGTCAAGTCTTTGACCTGACCCGACCCGACCCATGAAGAGGTTTTGCAACTGGCGACTAGATCCGCCCCAACTGTGTCACTAATGACTCAGTCCGACCCGACCATGGAGAGCGTAAGGATTATTTGGTGACTCGATCCAATCCTGCCCATGAGAAATTTGCATCAGGTGATACGATTTGACCTTTGACCTATGGAAGAGTTCTGAAACTGGTGACGCGACAGGTTGTGCTCAACTGGGCGGTCGATTGAACCCGTCATAAGAGGTCGTGTAGCTGGTGGCTCGATCTGACCTGGCCCATGTGCATTTTGAGGTCTGTCAAATGTTTGACCTGACCTGACCTGACCCGACCCGACCCGAAATTGCTTCAGTCTGCCTAAATCAAGAAGGTGTTGAGCTGTATTGCTGTGTGGCTGGTAGTCACGAATGTTAACAAGCACTACTGGGTTCTGTCTTAACTTGAATCTCGTAGCATGAAATGAGCAATGCCGTTACCTGTACCTCACCAACGACAAAAATCGGTCATATGCCGTTGAACAATGGTTGGCCAAATTAGTGTCTAGTTAGCGAAATGCTGCATGGAATGTTGCCCAACACTACCTCAAGTCGGTGTTGGTGTTTGTCTACGATCACCTTTACGGTGTTTCGATGGTACGTATTTAATGTAGTGAGCCGGATTGTTTCGTTGTTCCATGTAGTGTTTGTATTCGTCCACCACACTTTAGGTTTCGATCGCAAACAACTTGATGTTGTGAGCCGGAGTGTTTCGTTTGGTGCCGAAAGAGGAGGTGCTCGTGTTCGTCCACCACCGTGTTCGTCCATCACGACAACGCCTTCGATGGCACATAACTGTTGGAGTGGTGGGCCGGATTGTTTCGCAGTTTGTGCAATGGTAGGCGTTCGTGTTCATCCAATCACCGTTACGTTTTGGATAGCGCGTTCTTGCTAAGGTGAGTCAGGTCGTTTCCTTGTTTGCTCAGTGAGTATCTCCATCGGTCGATAGACATTGATCGCATTTCCAGCGGTTCCATTCAGCTAATGAATATATGGCTAACCGCTGTGATACATGAGCTCCTTTCCCACGAGGTACTTGAAACGAGAGACATCCACAAGAAGATCCTACATAGGAGTGTGTGAAGTGACAGATTGTTTTTGTGAATGGGCACGAGGAACGGACCTGCCCGCGTCTGCAAAGGTTACAATGCTCGTCTCACGTGGATACGACCGCGCCACGACGACCTGCGCGGGGCGTTTTTGGTACGTTCCCGGTCGTATCATGCGGTTTCAATGAACAATATTCCCGCTATTTTGTTTGTCCGGGGTTTAATCCTCCGGTGTAGTGTGGCTAGTTCACGAAACACGCTCCGATGCGGCCATACAATGTGCCGGATAACGCACAACCCCCC